TTTAGTAAAAGAGAATAGATTGGTTCTAATTCTTTTGTGATTTTAAAAACATTTCATTTCCATTTGTCAAACAGAAGTGGAATGTGAGATAAAATATATGCTTATTTTCCAACCTTCTCTAATGCTTGCAGTCTCTGTCTGACAGTCATGTCGGGCTGTCAGCAGATATCTCAGCATCCCCCCTGTACGCTTAGCACTGTGCTGGGAGCTGAGGAAGGTGGAAGAACCCTTAGCTCCTGTCTCTGTCTGCAAGGAGTTTATAATATAGTTTAGGATGGCAGATAGACTCAAGATAAGTATTTATACTAGCACAGTAAGGACAACAAGGCAAACGGCACTGAGGGAGCTGAAATCATCTAGAGAAGTTTCCCAGCGTAAGGGGAGGATATTTGTAATGCTGACAGGAGGTAAAGGTAGAATCTTAAATGCTTTTATTATTTTTCCATTGAAAAATCCTTCCAAGAAATGACTTAAAACCTGAGCGTTATAGCCCCAAATTTCCTGTCCTAATTAGATCTATATCAGTGGTTCTCAATTGGAGGCAGTTTTGCCCCCCTCTCCCCAGCGGACATTGGCAGTGCTATAGGCATTTGGTAGTATAGGCGGGGATGTACAGGACGCCCCCTTGCCCCTCATCCCCATACACACTCAAATGTCTGTAGTGCTGAATTTGAGAAACCCTTGTGTACATACACTTGAGGGACAGTGAAGGGACACTGGGGCCTAACCACCTGTCTGCCACTAGTTTTATGTGACCAGTGCCTCCAGGAGTTGCGGGGCTGGGCTGGGATAAATTCATGAGAGGCATTGAAGTGGCATATGATTAATTATTCAGTCCTCAGCTGTTCATCTTAGTTCAGTTGAACATCAGTCTAAACCAGGCAAGTAATGAAGGATTACTGACAAAAGAGAACTATATGAATAAAAAGATATCTTTTTGCACTTAATCCAAGTTTGTGTTGTCGTATTCAGTATTTGTATATCAAGCATTGAATGTCTCTTTGCTCTTTATATGATACCTGTGAGCTTAATGGAAATTAATTAGAATCAGAGAGTTCTGGATTTCACGTTCAGGTTCTAGCTGTGTAACTTTGAACAAGTCACCTAATCGAGTTATACTTTACTCTGTAAAAAATATAATAAATCCTCTGCAGCAGAAGATAAATAAGTGTGCCTTTAGATTTGTAAAGAGATAACCAAATATTTCATATATTTCAAGTTTTCTTGAAACTTCCTATTGAAAAATAAAATAAAAGCTCCTCCACAAGGCTTGAGAATTTCCCATTGCTAACCTTTATTCTAGAGGCTATGGTTTTGTTTCTGACACTTCCTGGAAGAATTTTATGCAAATGACCGGTACTGAATTAGTGTTTTTAGGACCAGAGTTTAGTATACTTACTATTCCTTCTAGAATAACTCATTTTACATCACTTAACAGCTTCTCCTTTCTGTGGCTCTGAAGTTCCAGAAGAATCAGCTGAGTAGGTAGATTAATTTATTCCTTCCTAGTGTAGTATTTTGAGGTATCAGTAAAACCAGAGATGCTACAGCCAATTTCAACAACTACCTGCTAAAGGAATAAACCCTCCTTAATGGGGATGACATTTCCATGCCCTGAATCCTGGGGAGGAAAATCTGGCAAACAAGAAAAGATTCCGGTAATCCTTTTCTGTGAGAACAATAGTGTTACAGTGGGTGCACATGGGCAGAATTTTGCTAAACATTGAACTAGGGAGAATGGAGAGTTTCTTTAAAACCGTAGGTGTATAAAACATCCAGGTTTTTCTTAACAACATTAATGTGCGAGCAATCTGCTTTGGATAAACAAAAATGAATTGCTTTTCTAATTGTGAAAATTTCTGTGTCTCTAACTTCCCTAAAATATAAGCAGTGGTCAAAAAGAGTCATGTACCACAGTGTTCATTGCAGCTCTATTTACAATAGCCAGGACATGGAAGCGACCTAAGTGTCCATCGACAGATGAATGGACAAAGAAGATGTGGCACATATATACAATGGAATATTACTCAGCGATAAAAAGAAACGAAACTGAGTTATTTGTAGTGAGGTGAATGGACGTAGAGTCTGTCATATAGAGTGAAGTAAGTTAGAAAGAGAAAAATAAATACCGTACGCTAACACATTTATAAGGAATCTAAAAAAAAAAAGGTTATGAAGAACCTAGGGGCAAGATAGGAATAAAGATGCAGACGTAGAGAATGGACTTGAGGACGTGGGGAGGGGGAAGGGTAAGCTGGGACGAAGTGAGAGAGTGGCATGGACATATATACACTACCAAATGTAAAATAGATAGCTAGTGGGAAGCAGCCCCATAGCACAGGGAGATCAGCTCGGTGCTTTGTGACCACCTAGAGGGGTGGGATAGGGAGGGTGGGAGGGAGGGAGATGCAAGAGCGAAGAGATATGGGGACATATGTATATGTATAACTGATTCACTTTGTTATAAAGCAGAAACTAACACACCATTGTAAAGCAACTATACTCCAATAAAGATGTTTAAAATATATATATATATAAGCAGTAGAACAGAGAAAAGAATATATATATAAGCAGTGGAACAGAGTGAACTCACATTAGTTGACTAAATTCTCCATTGTTTATAAGAAAATACTGAGCAAAAGTTCTTCCAGCTTTCATTAGCCTGAAACCTGATTATAAACTCATAGTCATCTGTGGACCTTAAAAGGATTCTGGCATTTAAGGTTCTTTTTTTTCTATTAAGTAATTTAAAATACCTAATTCAGAGCTAACTATCAAGCTAAAGAATGCCATTTTACTTTATAAAATCACAGATATCTAAAGCAGAAAGGACCTTAACAACCATGTCTAGCAACCCTCTTCTTTTTACAGATCAGAGGATTGAGGCACAGAAAGATTGATTGACTTATCCAAGGTCATAAAGGTGGGCAGAGCCAGGAGTGGAATCCAGGTTTTCTGACCACTAGCCCAGTCTTCTTCCCACTATTTGGACTTTTCCATAATTTTATTCATTATTAGAATTGAGACATTCAGGTTTTTTTTTATTGTAAAATACACATAGCATTTAATCATTAAACGTTTAAAAATCTCTTTAAATAGGCAAACACATGAATATGGAGCAAACACATGATTATGGAACAAAAATCAAAAGGTACACAAAGGTTTATGGTATACGGTTACTAGTTCAGCTCCCTCTCACTCCTGTCCATCCCAGATCCCCTTCTTGGAGGCAGCCACTGTAAATAATGAGGCATTTTAAATAGACCATTTTGGTCTAATAAAGTGTCTAAACTGACATTGTATTGTATTATTCTTCAGGGATTGCAGTTTGGCCTGCCAAGTTTAGGTAATGCCCAACAAAGGAAAAACATAAGCTGTGGAATTGGAATATGGAGAGAGATTTGTGAACTGATTTGAAAATTACCCACAGTCCAAGTTATTTCCAGTAATAGAAGTGAGGGCTCTCTTGCATCAGTACTCTCTTACTCAAATAATGCCTTTTGTACAAAGAGCCTAAAGTATTTTATAAGAGCTCTCATGTATCCTCATGACATGTAAAGTCCCTGAGTATTATATAACTGCATACAACTGCTTTAGAGTCTATAGCACATTGGCCACAAGAAAGAATTATGTTGATGTTTGAATAAACACCCCAGGCTCTGTGAAACCATCAGTGTGGGACATCACATGGATCTGCTTCTCTCAGCTTCTGAGCCTCCATGGCCTACCTGATAAAACAGCCCCTGGTTCTTGGATGGGGTGCATCCAGGCATTGGGGCTGGAGAGTTCCTCACAGACTGGACAGGTTGGCTGAAGGAGTGAGAGGGGGCTCCAGGAGTACATGTGCACCTTTGGTTGTGGAGCAGGAAAAGCAGCAGGGCAGCAGCAGGCTCTTGGTACCGCCCAGTGCCTTTGTAGCCTTAGAGCACAGGTGCTGACTCTGGTAGATAGCCACGTGCAGTAGGTAGGCGACTGCCCACCTGGTGAGAGGTCAGCCTGGGAAAAGCTGCAGGCCCAGACCCCACATGCCACAGTCGGGCTTCCTCCCAGTTTAAAAGGCAAATCTCCCCAAGTGAAAGGGAAGAAGAGGTTATCTTCTGCAATTGGTTATCTTTCTGTGATACTTTGTGTGACTATCTGACAACAGGTTTCACCTGGCAAGGGAGAGGACCTAGGAGGTCTGTAGGTTGTTTTGAAGACAGATGAGAATGGGTCCAGGGAAGCTATAGGGAGAGGAGAGGCAAGGTGGGAAGAAGTTGTCTTCCTGAGAGAGCAGTTCTTTGACTTCTGTACCACTGGACTCTTGAATTGTGGGTTTCACATTCTACTCTCAGGCAGTTTTTTTTTGTTGTTTGGTTTTTGTTTTTTTTTCCAATTTTCCTGATCCTGAGGACTCTCCTGGAGTACTTGCTAAAAGTTCAAATTCCTTGGCCTCTGTTCCATAGATGCCGCCTCAGTCTGAAGTTGGGTCCTTGAATACTGGGTAATTTTAATAAGCGTCCAGGTGATTCTGGGGAACGCTGTCAGATCAGGACTGGGTTCTGATATTTTGCTCTAGATTTGTCCTCCATTATAAACATAAATATCGGAAGTATTGGCAACCTTAACTGCATAAACAGAGCTTTATTTCAAGAAAGCGTGAATGTTCATTTCACCTGATAATAATGCCTTGGTATTGATTCTTCTTAATTTTTTTAATTGTTTAAAACACTGAAGTATTAGTTCATAGTAACTATTAAACCATCAGTTCTGTTCATCTTTGCAAACAGAACTACTGAATGGCCTTTTGTTTGTTGTAATGGCCCTGCCATATATTTGACCTGGACTAATATTATGTGATTTAAAGTTATCTGGAATTTAGAGTTTTGTAACTGATAGTAACTGTTTTTTATAGTTAGAACTTTTATAATGAGGAAATAGCTATTATTTCATCATCACAGTCATTTTAACAGTTTTAAATGTAAATTGAAAATTTCAGTGATTGTATTTTTTCTTTTCAGATAGGAACCAAGGCTTTAACCTTCTCAGCTCATTGGCTGGAGCAAACCATAGCACTGGATCAGCAGAGACCTGCCACTCAGAGGTAGAGATTTTTCCTGGATGTTTTCTCTTCTTTGGCTTTAATTTCTACTCGTCATTATGAATCTTCACACCATTCATCATTTTCTCCTTTCCATTTAAGAAGTGGCAGAGAATATTAGCAATAGATAAAAGGAGAACCTAAAACAGCCCTCTTTATGCCTGCTAGCTGTTAAGGGCAGGCTAGTTCAGCATTAAAGCAGTAAGCCCTTTCAAGATGTTTGCAATTTGGGCTGTTCCATGTGTTTTTGCTAGAGTGCTTTTAAAAATGTGCTAGGATTTCCTTAAGGCATAAAGTTGCCCCAAAGTCTTTAAATATAAAATAAAATTAATGGTTCTTTTTAAGTACTTCCTGTGTCCTGTACAATCTGAGGCAAGGTCCTTGCCCTTGATGAGCTTAAATAGGCTGATTTCAACCCTCTGTCCTCAAGGACTTTGGTCCAGGTCTGCCTTGGTTGGCAGGTTGGAACCACGAACACATTACGTAGTGCCACATTGTCTTTCTGGGACCTTCTTCCTCAGTCTGAGCTGTTTGTGATAGGATCTTATACATTTTCAGATTTTGAATAAAACATGATCTTAAAGCAAACAGTATGTTTTAATAGTCAATAGCAAAATCATAATACTTTTTAATTTTTCCTTGAGGAGAAACACTGCTGAATTAGTGAATTTTTACCCTTTTGTTTAATGTGACCGTGATCCTTCTTCCATCTCTCTTTGTGTCTTGCTCCTATTACTGCTTCTCCAAAGCTAACCAGAGGGTGGAAGTGCGAGCCTTTTTGGATTTAGTTCGGAAGCAACCTCCTGTTAAATTGTTACTTGTGTGTATTTTCCTCACCAGCAGCCCCAGTTGCCAGCAGCAGAGAGGACTGAACCCCTCTTGGATAATCGAGGTGGTGCATCTAATACAACAGACACTCAGGTCGATAGCATCGTGGGTAAGCACCTCTCTGGCTGCTAAGTGACAGCTCTGTGGAACTTGCAGTAACCCATGTATCGGGGTATAAATCATCCAAGGGGAAATTGACTTTAAATGAGGACGAGGGAAGGAAGTTGATAGTGCACCCCAATTGAATGTTAGCCTTGTGGACGGCTGTCAGAAAAAGGAGGGAGAGTAAATACATTACAAATTGTGGGCACCATTGTCCTGCTGATTCTGTCAGCAGGATCGTGATTACGATCATCTTAGCTAGAACAGACAGAACCAGGTGGTGAAACAGCTTTATATCTCCATATTACACAGTTTTTTCATAGTATTTCACAGTAGTCAGAATTGATGGTAACAAGAATAATACAGCTTTATAAGCCCTCCCATATCTTTTTTAAATTCTTTTATGTCCACATTCTCATTTGGTAATGCAGTTTGGCAGAGAAGTTATTTTACAGAGATGAAGATGAGGCCCAGAGCAGTTTAATAACTTGTCCAAGGGCACCTAACAAGAAGGTACTAGAGCTGAAACTGGAATCCAGTTTGCTGCCCAAAATCCAGAAAGCCAAGGAGCTTAGTTAACAATAACTATAAACGTTCTTTTGTCAGGGAGCTACTGAAGTCACTACTTCTTTTTATGCCACAGAGGGCCCATGTGCAGTAATAAGTTTTAAAAACTATTTTTTTTCTGTTTGTAAGATAATCCATGTAGAAAACTTAAATGATTGGTTATAGAAACATATTAAGAAGGAAAAATTGGTATATAATTTTTCTCTAGTTTATTCAACCTCATCCTCTCAGTTGAACCCTTCATATTAGCTTCTAAACCTGCTAAAATCTCTGCCATGAAAACAAACCATTGACCACACTGAAGGAGGTGGGGAAAATAACTAACTGAAAGAATTTGGGAAAATGGTATTCTGACTGGATACCATGAGGCCAAAACCAAAAAGAAATGAACAGAAATCCTGCACTCTGTTGAATAAATTTGATTCTTACAGGGGTATGGGTTCGAAATTCTGAATATTTATATGTAATATATTTTATATATATTACAGTTGAAAGAATAAGAAAATATAGCATAGATAATGAGAGCTAGGTTTCTCACTGTCAGAGAAAGAAGTTACAAATAAGGAAAGGGGAAGGCTGGGATGAACCCTTTGGTACTGAACTAGAATTGAAGGTATCAGCATGAACTCTTGGGTTTTAAAATATAGTTAGAGCAGTAGAGAAATAAATATAGATATGTGTATGCATGTGTAAATACATATATATATTTCCTAGCTCTGTCCACTGGGAGGACCTAGAAGCAACAATAATAGCAGTGGACATATTTAGTACTTAGATCTTGGTTTCTAAATACTATTCTCCAAGAAAAGGTACCAGGGCTACTTGGAGAAGTGGTTGATTCAGGGCTGGGGCAGGAAGAATGCAGGATGAACGTGGAGCATCATGGTGCCAGAAAGTAAAGAAGTGCTCAAGAAAAGAATGGGGGCATGTTGAAAGGGCACAGGAACCAACCTGCAAGAGCTTCCAATGGCTAAAGCTGGAACAATTTGACCAGCAAAGTAAATTAACATAGTATTGGGCTGTAACCCGTAGAATAAAATACGTATCCATACTAATTTAAATAAATAATTGAATAAATGCATAACTGGAAAAGAAAAGGCTGCTCCTCCTTACAGAAGAATTCCAATTAATACATGTAGACATTATGAGGGAAATAGAAAATTACCCTTAGCCACACACCACAGTAATAGTTGTCGCAGGCAAGATCCACTGATGAATGGTGAAATTAGTAGATGAAAGTTTAAGAAGAAACACGACATTTCCATAGTCAAGAAGTATCTTTCCCAAGTTATTTATTACAAAGGGGAAAATAGTAACTTTATACTGGAAAAACCTGGCAGATACCACTTTAAGTGATGAAGGTTACATCACCAGTAACAGGACATATTGACATCATCTCCCTCCAAAATGATGCACTGAAAGGGCACTCACTTCTGTGGTGTTCCTGCCAAAGGTCCATAACCTCAATCTAATAATAAGAAAACATCAGACACACCCAAATTGAGGGGTATTGTACAAACTAACTGGCCAGTACTCTTCAGAAGTGTCAAAATCATGAAAGACAAGGCAGGACTTAGGAACTGTCACAAATTGGAGAAGACTAAGGAGATTTGACCACTAAATTCTGTGTAGAATCCTGAATTGGATCCTGGAACAGAAAAAAGGATATTAGTGGAAAAACTGATGAAGGTTGAATGAAGTCTGTAGTTTAGTCAGTAGCACTGTTCCATTATTAACTTTGCGATGTTTATAATTGTACCATGGTTATATAAGATGTTAACACTGAGGGAGGGTGGGGGAAGGGCATATCGGAAGGCTCTGTACTATTTTTGCAACTTTTTTTGTAAGACTACAGTTATTTCAAAATTCTTTAAAAAGACAAAACCAAACAAAGTAAAACACTTCCTCAACCCCACATCTCCCTCCTCTCTTTACTTATTTCCATTCCTCAGTTCATTGCCATCTAGCTCTTGCTCCCATTTTCCATGAAAACAGCTCACCAACGACTTCCATGCCACTCAATCTAATAGATGTCCTCCAGTCCCCATCTTGACCTCTTGGCGGCATTCAGTATTACGAATCAGTCCCTTTCTGAAACATTATCTTCTCTTGACTCACCCAACACATCTCCTGATGTTCTTCCTACCTCTCTGATGATTCCTTCTCTTGCTTTGGAAGATTACACTCCTTTACCCAGCCTTTAAATATCGCCATTCCTCAATGTTCCATCTAAACTCCTCTTCCAAACCTGTATTTAAGCATGAAGTGATTCTGTCCACATCCACAGTTCAGGTATCATGTATACAGATTAATCACAAATATTTTATCTCTAGCCCTATATACCATCTGCCACCATGGCATGCCCATTGAACTAAAGCAAATTTATTAACCAAATGCATCTTTAACATCAAATTATCTGTATGACATTGTAGTATATGTAAAGAATTATCATCCTTGTCTTCAAGGAGCTTATAGTCTAAAAATGCAGAGACAGGCCTTGTAATGTAATGTAATGGGTAAAGTCATGGGCTTGGAATCCTGGACAACTGGGTTCAGATCATGGCTCTACCACTAGTAGTGAGATGACCTTGAGTAAGTTATTTAGCATCCGTGGGCCTTAGTTTCCCCTTCTATAAAATAGGGGTGACAAATCTTTCCTCACATCGCTGTTGCAAAAATGAAACGGAATCGTATAAGTTAATGGACTCAGTGGTGGGGACAAAGCAAACTCTCTCTCTTACTGTAGTATTTGTTATAGTAACAGTAGACAGATGCTAGCATACAGAGTAGTGTATGCCAGTGCCAAGACAGCTCTATAAACACTAAGTGTGGGACAAATCCTAAGGAAGGAGACCTGTGAGCTGGGACGGTCAGGGAAGACATCCTAGAGGTGACTGGCCTGGAATGGGGGCTGAGTGAAAATTCTGATTAAAAACTAAGTTTGATAAAGAAGCCACATGCCGAGGTAGAAATAGTAAAGGATTTGTGGTAAGAAAAAGGAATTTAAGTTGGCTCTACCTCTGAATGGCTGTAATTTTAGATGAGTTCATTTTTAAACTCAGCTTGCTTCATGTGTAAATTGTGGACAGTGGTATCTGTCCTAACCACCTTATATGGTTGTCAATAACAGATGTGAAAATATTTGTTGACCAGTAAAATATGGTATAAATTTCAGGCATTTATTGAATCTGTGGACCTTAGTGCAGGGCATGACCTTTAGAATTGGAAACATGTAAGTCTGAATCCAAGGTCACACTTATTAGCTGTGACCTTGAGCAAGGTCACTTGATCTCTGAGCTCTAGTTTTCTCTAGAAAAGTGGAAACAGAATTCCTTGCCTCGTTACAGTGTTTTACGGATAAAATGAGTTACTCTTCATTTGTGAGGGCCCACTACCAGCCAAGCAGGATGCAGCACTATGAGCTGTACGGCTGGTTCCCAGTGGGCACTCACTCAGTGGTAACTTTCATCAAAGCCAGATTGATTGCTTTTGGATTCTGTGTATTTAGCACATACATAAGTAATGTGTGGCGAATCCTTATTTCAGATCCCACGTTAGACCTGGATATTCAAGAACTAGCCAGTCTTACTACAGGTGGAGGAGATTTGGAGAATTTTGAAAGACTATTTTCAAAGTTAAAAGAAATGAAAGGTAATCGGATCCATTGTGTCTAACAGATTCCCATATTGATGCTCTTCTATTTTGTATAGTAGGATTTTACTTTGTAACTGCTGATTGCATTCCATGCTCTGGCCTCATCTGAGAAACTTGGGTACTGGAGGACTGTGCCATCCTGTTAGTAAAAATTTCCTTGGGAAAATTTTCCTCTTTCTTCATTCTTTTTCCTCTTACTTTCCCTTCTTTTGCCTGTCTCTGTTTCTTTCAGTGTGTCTCATTAACATGGAATCAGTAAGATCCCTACCAATTTACTCACATCATTCTCATCTGGAAAATTTGGAAGACTTAAACTTCCTAACAGCTATAATGACTACACCATAAATGTGTCTGTGAAACCCATTTCCCATCTTCTAGTGTTAGAACATCCATGCATTCCAGATTGTCCCGTGCTATTAGATGAATTTCTTAAGATATATTTTCCCCCTAGACAAGGCTGCGACGCTTCCTCACGAGCAAAGAAAGTTGCATGCAGAAAAGGTGAGAAAATCAGTCAGGTATTTATGGAGTACCTACAGCAGGTCCAGTGCTATAAGAATGGTATATCACACTTGTTTACTTCTGAAGTATCTTACTGTGAACTTTTTGTTGGATATTAACTTATAACTAATTGAATATTTACCCAGTAGTAATATAGTTGCTGCAGTCAAACCAAGATTTTCCAGTGTATGTTGAGTGACATGGAACATTGAGACTCAGGATGTTTGCCTTCTTAGCTGTTAGACTGGAAAACGCTTAGTTATTTTGTTTGGTTTGGTTTGGTTATTACCAACACAACACGTTCTTGGCAGGAAATGTATATGGTTTATGGTATTCCATTGTATGAATGTGTCTTAATTTATTTATCCAGTTTCCCTTTTGGACATTTAGGTCATGTGCCTTTTTTTTTCTTCTGTAGTGAAGCTGTGTGTATCCTTATACATCACCTGTGTAAACAGCTCTGATTATATCCTCAGTAAAAAGTCTAGGAGTAGAAGTCATGGGTCAGGGTGTTCAGGGGGTTTTGATAGATGTTGCCAGAGCGCTTTAGGGCAGGGTGTAGAATTTTAAGTCTTAATCAGTTCTGTGTATAACATATGAAACGAGCTGAAATTCAGTTGTTGCCTACAGTGTGTTGCTTGCTTCTCTCCACAGGTGGCCAAAGCTTTCTGGATGGCAATTGGGGGAGACAGAGATGAAATTGAAGGCCTTTCATCTGATGAAGAACACTAAATTATTCATGCTAGGGCTTGACTACCAAAGACCCTAGCTCCCTCTACCTGAGATACTTCCCTACTCAACCCAGTCATCTTTTGCTGAGCTCCCCATCATCATGTTGGCCGCCTGACTTGTTTATAGGCTCCCGTGAATTTTAGTTTTTAGCAGGGGGTAAAGCAGAAATCTCTCCTCCCTCAGAATATCGTGGGGGAGTGAGAATGACAATGAGTGAGGAATTCTCAAATACACTTTTTTGCTCTAGGAACAGGGGTGGGATGAGGCTCAAAGGCCTGTGTGATGTGACCAAGTTAAAGGCGAAGAACCACCAAGCCATTCCTAGTCAGTCTTCTAAGCAGCATTCCCCGCGTTCACACTTGATCACTGCAGATCGGGAGCTTGTGCCACCTTTCCTGGGTTCTGGATTCTTTCTGTCAAGGAACTTGCTGCTCTGAGGTTTGATGCTTTTGATGGGAGGAAAGATTTAATCTGTGCTGTACTATAGACTATGTGCCAAAGCCACTGCCCCTCAGGTTAGTCTCTAGCTAAAAAAAAAAAAAAAAAAAAATGCATCTGGGCATTTCATTTGAAATACAGTATCTGAGCTCATGCTAGAAAGTATTGAGAAACATTGTGAATTTTTAGACTGTAGTAAATGATGCAAGAGTTTCCCACTCTGGTAGGGATAAAATAAACCCTCCTCTACCAAGTTGTGGGTCTGTCGATGTGCGTGTGTAAGAGAGAGCAGCTTAAGGAATTCCCTCTATAGGCCACTGAAACGGTATGATCATATCCTGAGACACTCGCATTAGTGTTACCGTGGAGAAAGTTTTCTTTCTTAGAGTTCGCTACTTGAGATGGCAGAGCTGTGTTGTCACAACTTATACCCTCAAAACAAGGCAAGTTTCCTTTTCTCTTTCTGAAAGCCGGAGATCACTGCCAAAATAGTAACACTAAGGAGTGGGCGTGGTGGGAAAGGATATGAAATGTTAGGCAGTGAATCCCTGAGTACCTTGTGTTACTTCCAGGGCTGGGTGGGTCAGCTCTAGGGGAACTGATCACCAAGGGGAAAGTTTCCAGAGGAAGAGTGGGAAATAGAGCAAATGTAATCCTTATTTCTGTTTTCGTAGGTACTTTGTAATGCATGTCATGAGCCTTTACTGTGGTAGTCACTGCCATGGCTCTAAACTGGCTCAGGGCACATGGCCTGAGAACTGCTGCTGGCCTAGTGTGGGTAGGAACCTCTTAGGTCACCAGCAGAAACAAGTTTCAGACACCTTTGTGCAACACCTTCTAAGCACTGCAGAACCTGACAGATGGCAGAATGACTGGAATGCTCCAGGTTCCGGGCCAGGGTGACTGCAGGAGGGAAGGTTTCAGTGATTGGAGCCATTCCAGGGAACATTGGAGGCTATCTTGCTTGATACTTTTTTTCTTTTTCTTTCTTTTCTTTTTTCTTTTCACTATTCTGAAGGTCTTTGAGACTGTAGTTTACTATCATTCCATCAGTGTTTCTTTGAGGTAACTGCATCAGCCATTGACTGGGAATATAAGGGAAGCTGGCCCTGGGGTTGCAAGATGAAAGGTGGAAGATATTTTTCTTAAAACATGAAAGGTTTCAGAAAATACATTAGGTCACGTGGTTAGGGAAAACAAACTAGAAAAAGCTGTGAACTTGATTTTGTGGATTAAACAAAGCCAGGTGATTAAAATGTGATTTATTTATAAAGTCTGCTTATGTGTATTTTTATGATTTTGTTGGTTTTTTTGGGGGGGGTGGGGAAGCCTTCCTTTATTGGATTAGGCATAAACAGCAAATAATCTAAGAGTTTGTCAAACTCACTCTTTTAGAATCCACCATTTAAATGTATAATATCAAGTCATGTTTTCAAGATCTCAGCTATCTGGGGGTATTGGCCCCTTCTAGGGGAGATGTGAGATTAAAGTGTCCAGTGGTATCTACTAAAGGCCCATTTTAAGAAGAGTGATCATGAGCTAATAGTGTAATAAAAATTGCATTCTATCTAAAGTGACCTATGTACATGCCACCATAAGTTATTATGGACTGTCCATCTGGGATTTAAAACAAGAACCTCGGCTTTATTTTTTCCTTAAGCATTTTTCTGTTTGTGTAACACGGTGTCTGGCACATAGTGGGCACTTAAAGCTGGTTTGGACTTGCATTCAATAGTTTTGATGAACATGATCCTAAAGTTTTAAGGTCCATGAGTGTTGGGAGGTAGGGAGAGACAAGAATAAACTTTTTATTTCCCTGAGAAAATCATATGTTATGTAATAATTTTAGAGTGATGAAGACATAGATATTTTTATAATTTTAAGATATGTTATCCTGCCAGAATATGAGAAGATTGACAGAACCAGTTTGCTTGCTCTCTTTTTATAGAACTTGGCCACATCTAATTCAGAGAAGCTGGAGATTCAGGGATGCTAGACTTAGATGGCTGAGTAATATGGGATGTGGTTCAAGGCCCATAGAGCGTGTCAAGCCATTACTGCAAACTACTTATAACAAAGGAAATGTGATCTGTTGCTAACTTCGTGTTCCCACCATGGAGAGGTGAGGATAAACATTTTTGCCGTGGCCTGTCAGATTCCCTTAACCTTGGGTCAGTCTCTTGACAGTGGCCATCGAGAGAGCACGTGGAGTGCCCCTTGCCCTGCCTTGGCCTGCCGTGGAAAAACAGTCTTTGAAGAATCACTGTCTGAGGGTAAGATGAGAGCTCCCTGAAGTATTCTGAGCTGGAGTGTTTGCTGATACAAAGCTAAATTTAGCCAACATGTGTCCAGTGTGGTCAGCGGTTTGATTCATTGAACATTCTGACTGATGGAGACCGAGAATGCTGGATGAGTTAAGAGCTGCCTTTCACCCCCGACCCAAAAAACTTTAAAATAGGCAAGACAGTTTAGCTACAGCATTCTATCATTAAATACCTATCTCATAGAGGACTGTAGGAGGAGAAAGTGTGAAAAATCAGGTCAAGTGTACCCCCTTAGTACAAGATTTAAAAACAACACCGTAACAATTAACTTGCCCATAATTTGTATGTTCCTAAAAGCATCATGCTCACAGTGCAGGGCAAAGTTCTAGTTTTGACTTAGATTCCACTTGGGGTTTAGTTTAGTGATCCATCCTTGCCCCTTTGGCATGTAAGCTCTTGCAGAAGGGGTCTTAGACGTTTTCTAAGTTTTATATTTTGGGCATTACCTGTGCCTGTTAATTAACATCACCAGCCTTGCTCCTAATGTAGGTGTCTTTATTCAGAGTTAAGTGTGTGTTACAGTTCCTCTAGTATAGGAAGTATCTTTCTCGATTCTGAGGTGTTTCTTTGATTTGCAGAATGAAGAATTGAAAAGAGGTAATAGCAACAGCGTGATCTTTTGTTGAACACTACTGAGCCCTGGTCCAGCTCTAAATGATGTGCTGTTCTACTTTGTTTCCTGTTGGAAAAGTATTGATTCAAAACCTGGACCTAATGGTTATAACTAACTGCATCTTTAGAACACAGGTTTGGGAAGAAAACATTTTTTTTCCTCTAAAATCCTTTTTTATCTGTGTATATGTTGATAGGCTCAAATACTTGATCCTCACAGCTATAAATCTGCGAGGCATAAATGGGTCACAGAAAGCCTCCCGGGTTCTCTCCTGTGAAGCATGTGACCAACCACTGCCTCTCCCTTTTCTCTTATCGACCAGGTGGCTTTAATGCTACAAAATGTAGGCTGAGTGAGGCCTGGGGTAGGAACTTTATGGAAACAGCAGCATAATTTAGGAGAGAAGAGTCTGTTCCTTTGAAGCCCAAGGACATGGTCTGCATCAATCCTGTTGTTCCAGGAAATCTCAGGAAGTCATTAATGGTGTTAGAAGGCCTCAAACTTGAAGTTAAGGACGAGCAACTGCAACCTGTTCCTTTATCCTGATGAGAGCTGAAGCAAGGACTCAGTGCAGCCAGCACTGGCTGGGACCCTTCTTGGTGACAGAGTGCGCTGGCCGTGGCCGAACCTGCAGACTTGGGTAAGGACGTGACGTGGGTTCTCTTCCCTAGCAGCTCATTGTCTAACTCAGGTGGCAGAAGGGGGCGAGCAAAGTGAGGCTACAAAAGGTCGAATGCTGGGCAGGATGTGAAGAGTGCTGTGTCCGGCCTTAATTGCTGTGGAAGGAGAGCGCCGAGTGGGTTGGGAAGAGCATGATGTGCATCCTGGAGCAGTGGTTCTCAATCATGAGCCCATGTCGGAATCACCTGGAGGGCCCCACCCCAGGATTTCTGATTCAGGAGGTCTGGGGGAATGTGGGTTTCTAACTTTCCAGGTGATACTGATGTTGCCGACCAGAGACCACACTTTGAGACCCATTGACTTTGAGGAAGCGATGCTTGACTTGAGCGTTTGGGGATAAGAATTTGGGCAGGTACGTGGGTGAAGGCTGCAAAATTCTTAGTGGAAGCTATGGCATGAACAAAGGTATGGAGATAAGAAAGCAAGGGGTTATGTTGGGGAAACCCCAGTAGTCCAGCTAGAGAAATGGTGGTAGATAAGGATGGAGTGATGCTGAGAACCTTGGAATTCCGCTTTGTGCCTACTCGGGAGGTAATCAAGGAGCCAGCGGGTTTCGAGTAGAAGACATGTAACTGTAATTAATTCCAGGAAAATCTGGCAGCAGGACTAGCCAACACCAATTGATCACCAGTCTGCCTGGAGAGCTGTGTTGAGAAGGATTCTGAAGCTGAGAATGGACCCAGCAGTGTGATGAGTGGTTTTTGCATGGATAGAGAACTAGTGAAAGTTGGTAATTTTGCCCTGTACTTGCCATCCCTGGACTAGAGGGTGACAAGTTAGGAGAATATTGGAATAGCCGTGATAAAAGGTAATCAGGAACTTTATTTTGGTGGTGCTCCTTCAACCATACATAAGGACTTGTATAGGACAGCACAGTGAAAATGGATGGAAAAGGCATTGCTAAGGTAAAATCTACTAGATACAGGCACCAATTCATTCAGTGAATTCAGCAAAAATATGTGGTGGCCAAAAGAAGCTGAGGATACAATAAGAAGATATAGACCCTGCTCTCAGGGAAGATTCACAAAAGGCTTCCTTTCTGAAGTGAGTCTCAGAGCATTAGGGAAGGTTAGCCCGGTGAATTGGTGGTGTCAGGCAGGGTGGGAGAAGCAGGGTGTAGACTGGTGTGTGATACGTGAGGAACTGCACTTAACACGACACGGGGTTGCAGGGGCGAGGCAGCAAGCTGTGAGAGCTGGACAGGGGCCAGGTGGTGAGGGTCACGTGGCCCATGTTAAAGGCCTTAGAATTTGTGCTGTGGACTCTGGCGCCGTCTAAGGTCAGGGAGGCCACTGGGGGCAGTGTGGATGGTACATGTATGGGAAAGCAGGCTGGAGGCTCAAAGAGTGGTTAGGAAGCCATGCAGTTGTCCAGGTGACAGAGGGCTTGGAGGACAGGGCCGAGAGCACAGAGGGACAGGGCTGGTCGGATGTGGGGCGTGAGGGAGTGGTGGATGACTGTGACTTCGTGGCCGTGGGCCGAGTAAAGGATTTTGATACAAAGCGGGACTGAAGGCCAGGAGAGGGCGATGGTTCAGTAAGGGCAAGGATGACTTGCGGTTTTTAAACTGAGTTTTGAGGTACTTGTGGCACCTCCGCTTACCAGTAGCCAGCAGGCTGTTGGATATGAGTCTGAAGCTGGGGACTGATGTCTGGGCTAGAAATACTGATTTGGGAGTCCTTAGCATTTATGTGGCTTGAAATCACACAGGTTAGATGAGCTCTCTCAGGGAGGAATGTCAAGAGTACAGACACTGGTCTGGGGATACCCCCATGGAAGGGGGAGGTGCAGGCCTGAGAAAAAGAGGAGAGCGGACATTCAGGGCCTTTCCAAAAGGGAGGCTGGATCACCAGGGGCAGCTGCAGAGGTGGGAGGTGGCGGGGAGCAAGGAAAAGGAAAGCATCAAGCTGCCCAGGACTTGGAGAAGGTGGGGCGGTGGGGGGCTCCCGATAAACACAGAGTCAGGAAAGGGAGCTTGCTTGGGCAAGACGGGAGATGATTCAATTTGGGGGAGTTGTTTTGGATCGCGTTTCACAGGCAGCTGGAATTTAAAGTTGTGGCGCTCAAGGAACAGGTTGGTTTAGAGGTAGGGATGTGAGAGTCATTTGCCGAGAGACTGACTAGATAAAACCTTGGGGAAAGTCGTTTAGGGGCGGGAGGCTAGAACTGGCCAAATAACAATGAAGGTAGGGATTTGATGTAGTTCATGGAGGCCAAACCTATAGGCACGTGGGTGCCATTCCTGGGAAATCTGCCTCCCTCCTGGTACAGCATGTGTGGACTCCGGTGAGGTCCTGGGAGGGAAGGCTGCTGTAGAAGTGGCCCAGCTAGAGAATTACGCCAGCCCCCTTCCGCCTCCCCCGAATTGTTTATTCGTTTTAATCATCCTGTTTCTTAATCCGCGTCAGCTGGGGTCAGTGTAAGATTCAGCCATGGAAAACAATTTTGAAGTCTCTTTTCTCCTTGGGCGTTTGGAATTTAAAATGGATTTTCACAGGAGCTAAGTCATGTGAGCTGGAGAGTGTGGAAACCTGCTTCTTTCGGAACCTGAAACCTACCTCCATTGCCTGTGGCAGGATTAATCCGGTGGCATCCACTCACTTGCCAAAGGCTCTCAAATACAAAGGAAATGAACGCGAAGTAACAACACGGAGACAGCGTCGCTGGGACTTGTGCGGCGCTGGGAGACGTGCCAACTGGGAGACTTGACACCTTCACTTGCCTGACCCGGAGGCTCCCGCTATCCCTGCAGGACTGGCTGGCACTGCATGTTGCCCTCGGTGAGTGAATGAGGGCAGCGGGGCTGTGGCAGAATGGGACCTGGCACATCCTTGGTCAAAGTGCACTTGGGCTTGGAGACACATTTCTCTGAAGCCCCTGGGGCCCTTTAACCTCTTCTCTCCACTCAGACATGGCAGCGAGAATGAGAGCGAGCTTCTGGCCCAGTAGCTTTTCAATGAAAAAGTTTATTAGAAGGGCACTTACAGGGGAGAGAGGACACAGTTCTTTAACAATAGGGGTACAATGCTTAAACAGGTGCTCTGCTCTTAAGATAAAAGTTAGAAAAATCTAAAACACTATAAATACATACATGCTTTTTACAAAGGTATTAAAAGGTCAGGCTGGCTGAGAAGGGAAGGTGATCAACCTCCTCCGCGTTCTTTTTCCCCACCCAAAGGCACACCCAAACAGGAGTCCTGCCCAGAACAGCCTCGTTGCAACAGCAGCACTGAGGGTGAATGAAGGCTTCCGGGAGGAAGATGGCTCCATCCCTCTGTACAGTTCTCACCCCTAGGAAGGGAGAGGGGCTTGGTTCAGAGGCCCCCCACCTAAGGGCCTGTATTCGACTCTGAGCTGCCTGTGTCACATGCTGCCACGTGGGGAGCCAGCCTGGGTCAGTCGTCCCAGGTGCTGAGCCCAAAAGCCACTGCACCCTCTACCAGCGTTTGGAACTGGCTGTGCCCCGTCCCTTCCCAGCCACTGTCCTTGGGAGGAGAGCCTTTTCCAACTTTCTTCAAAAAATTAAATAGTTATCTGTCTTGAATGGTTTTAAGAAATTATTACATAAATATAAAAACACCAGAATGCTCGAGTGTACATTACTTTAGCATAAAAGAAAAAAAATTACAGGATCACTTGAGAGAATTTCTCAATCCAGTTTACACAATACGCGAGTTTTTGCATGTGGTAGCTGTGTTTCTGAAAGGTTGCCTGTAGCGCAAGTCATTTCCCCGCTCTTCCATCAGAGGTGCCTCATTTTTGATCCATACGTTTTTCTGCTTTCCCACCCACTTGCGGAGTGGCTGATACTCCTGAAAGACTGACTTGAAGGGGTTCGAGAAGGGAACATCTATGCCACACCAAGAAAAATGGTACAACTTAGCTGTGTTGAGGTTTTCTTCTAGCAAAGATGTAGATTTGGGAAAAACTCCCAACTGTGCCACTTAGTCACACAGTAAGACACAGGGCCCGGAACCAAACTCATGCCCTCTCTTGCTACTTGGTAACCCCCTTGGTAAACAGTCCCCTGAGCAGTCTGCAGATTCCTGTCCCTCCCTTCTCCTTTTAAGGACTACAGAGAGTGGCCTCATGAGAGCTCTAATGTGAGCTCTCACCCCGCAGAGACCCTCACGGAGCCTCAGAAACGGCAGCTTGGGGCTGAGAATGAAATCAGATATCTGCCGTCTCCCCAAGCTACTCACATACATGCATGACATGCACACGTTACTTAAAGAAAACCTTTTTCTGCGGTGTGAGTAAAAGCATTTAGCCCTGGAATACGTCCAAACTCTAGGAAGCCAGAGGGAGATGGAGAAAAACAAACTAAGCACAAGATACGTGCTACAGCTCATTCCAATACATTAACAATGATTTAAAAAAATAATCACCATGGTAAATAAAAAAAATACAGCACAGACAACATAAGGACAATGGAAAAGTCTGCCAGCAGCCTTGCCCTCATGTCTGTTCTTCCTAAGAGTCCAAGTCCCCGCTCCTGACTCTGGGCTTGTCTCAGAATGTCAGATCTGCAGCCTGCCAGGAAGGTGGCCAGCAGAGAAGACTGGCCAGCACAGGCCTGTAACCCGAACCGCTGGGGCGGCTACCTACTTGCACTGGAAGGCTCCAAGTACTAAATAAAGTTAGGAGGGGGGAGGGAGTGGGCGGAGAGGAAAGGGAATACAAGCTGGCTCCTGAGGGAGGTGCTGAGGCCAGGATCTAGGGCCCCGCGCTATAGCTACTCTCAAGGTGAAGGTGGCCTGGCGGGGAGCCCGGGGCAGGGGAACAAGGCACGTTGTGCAGCCTGGACAACGGCACTGAAAAGGGTCTCCAGCAGCCACCGTCACCCCCCAGAACTGCCCCGATTTCCTCCTGCCCCTTTCAGCTGTCCTTTAAGTTTTTCAACGTATAAGTGCCTTCAGGCGATAGGATTTTTAAACTATTTTTATGACTTGAAGGACACTAATATTACATGTGCCTCAGAGCCACCTACGCAGCCTCTAGGGTGGGAATGAAACCAGATCCTAACCTCTGGGTACAACCAAATTTCTTTTCAATGGTGCTGAAGGTGGGCTTCCCCACTTTTTCCTCTCATCCTCCTCCAGCAGTCTAGTCTATAAAGAAAAAGGGCCAAGCAAGTAGCTTTCGGAAAAACACAAAATTAAAACTTCATGTCTCCTAGAAGTAGCCTTTAGCTTTGAGCACTGAGGGTTCTGAGACACCATCCAAATGCAGCCAGATGTGACCAACAAGATCACCCAAATTGGGCTGTACCTGAAGCCGGTTCCCAAGTACCTGGGGGACAGCTGTGCGCCGTAGGAAGCGCTCACAGGAGATCACGTTAGCAGGTGGAGAACGCGGGCCCTCAGAGACTGCTCCCCATGGCTTTTAGAGGGGGCACCACGATGGCTTCAGCCGAGGCCAAAATGGAAGAAGAAGTCATACCATGAGTCTCAGACCAGACTGGGAGCAGGAACACACATGCAGGAGGTTCAGATGATTTCCTGTATCTAAAAGAAGCAGTCCACCATCATTTCATACCAGGCACGAACTTCAGACTTGCAGTATCTGGCCCCCTCAGGTGGAGTGAGGGACTACACACCGTCTCCGGCTCTGTGTCGACAGTCCTGCGCAAAGACCAGCCCAGGTCTGGCAGGGTACTCTTGTCTCTTCCTATGTCCTCTGGAGGCTTGGCAAGCAGCTCTCCTACCTGGAAACTTCAGGGCTGGAGCTTCAGAGGCCTAGGATCCTGTAAGTGAGGCACCCAGGAAGCCCCGAACATCTCCACATAGCATCAGAAATGTCATCACATTTGAGGTTTATACCTGCCAAAAGTGTACACTTTCTTCCCTTCACCTGCAATTAAGACAGGACTTCCATAGGAAATCCCTTTATTTTTCCTGGTAGAAATCCATGCAAAAATATGGGATAAGTCATTTCATACAAAAACAGCAGCAAAGTATAAAGTACCAATTGCAAGTGGCAATTCCATCTGCTGTATTCTGCAAAAGGCCAGTAGAAGAGGGCTCTTTTTTTTTTTTCCAGTTGAAATAACTTATAGTAGTTTCCTCACTAATTGCCACTGGGAGCAGTACTTATTACACATTGTAACTGCTAGAGTTGTCACTGATGATCCTCTACTGTGAGCTAGATAATCTCATATCCCAGGGGAAAGATGACAGACCTCTTTGCACCAAACCTGCAATTTTCAAAGGTGTAAAAAAAATTTTCAATAGCCCTTTCATTTGCTTTTGTGTTGGCCTGAGATCTTTCCCTCCTGGTGAATTTGCTTCTGTTAATTTCAGCTTCCGAAAGTGCTGGCAGGTGGTGTCTTCTCAACAAAACCTGGAAAAGCTTCACTTTGGGGGAAAAGTTGCTGGGTCCCCCTCTGGTTTCCCAATCAACGTGCCAACCCAGGGTTTTGTTTTGTTTTTTTTTAAATATAAAACAAAGGTTTAAAAGAGCATACGATAAAGTTCATTTAATTAACGCAACTGACTACATCAGCCAATGTAGCCGAATGCATGAGAAAGCGGAGCGAGCTCTTACAGGTGACCGGAGACCCGCGCACCGTGGTGGTGCTGCCTCAGCCTGAACACCACCACGGACAACTGCCTCCTGCTTCCCGGGAACACTTTACATAATTCAAATCTCTTTGAGATTAACGTGATGCTACAAACTATACATTTCCTACGTGCTTGAGCCTCAACAGATCCTTCCAACTGCTGAAAATGCAGACAACTTTTAAGAGTGTTTTTAAAGAAGAGGTGTCACCACCTTTTCCCACCGGTCCCTGTGTGCTCGGTTCTGGACACACTCGCTCACACCAATCAGTATGCTCCCCGAGGGGTGGAGACAGACAAGACCCCTCCCCACCCCAAGTCAATTCAGCCCCCAGGGTGCAAGGTCTGACGCTGCTGGGGTTCAGGAATGCTCACTGGAAGAGGAGGGCTGGGCCCGAGGTGCGCTTATACCCCGCTTATACCCCTGCCTGCCGGCTTCTCCCTGCCTCTAGAGTGCCCAAGGCGAATTCCGCACTCGGTCCTGACCACAGGGCCGTTTCCTGTTGGGCAGTGACATCTCAGTTTGCTGTCATTAAAAGAAAAGGGGGCTGGGGGAGGGGGCAGGTGGTAAAATACTACCTGTTTGCTCAAGCCACCAGAGCAGAAGCCATTTCTTGCCCTTCACACCAGGGCCAAAGGGCAGATGTGTTCAGCAGACACAGCTGTTCATAAAAATCCATCTCTGGGTTTGCTTTCATGTTCTGTAAAACAGGCTCGTGCCACTTTGGTTGAGGGAGAAAAATTTCTTCTTCTTTGACAACCGTGATTTGAGTTCTGATTTCTCCACCTCCTACATGGCCACTTTCCCCAAGCCCACCCTCCCCGCCCTCCCCCTTCACACCTAGCGTCTCTAAGACACACTGGAGCAGCGGATGCTCGGGGAGCCCATCTGGGTGAGGACCTTGTCAAGCCACTGCAAAGGCCCATTCAGGTGCAGCTCGATCCAGCAGGGGGTGCTGGTCACGGTCTGTCTCCTGCAAGACATTGGGAAAGGGGTGGGTTGGGGGAGGTTAAGCATGTACAGAAGCACACACACACTTGTCAGAATGCCTTTTCCCGCTTTGGTGACAGGGTTCTTCCCAGAGCCAGAGATACGGACTGCCTTGCTAGACCCTGTCCTGGAGGAGGTGCCACTGACTTGCTGAAACTGCCGGGCCAAACTCCAAGCAGGAAGGGCTTTGAGTAAATCAGGTTCTCCTGCACCAGGGAAGGACGTGGCCCCCTTAAAGAGAAACATGTAAAGCAAATTCCAGGGTACCCCAGAGGCCCCCCGGTTGCCTTGATGGGCTTCTGATGGAGAACCTCAGCCAGAGCAAAGGTCTCTCTGGTCCCCCTGTCCTGAGAGGGCACCTACAGCTCCCCTGCCTTCAGCCCCGACCCACCCCCAGCAGGCCGCGATGACGTGCGTCTGCCTGATTGAGGGGTGTTTCTTACAGAGCGCCGACAGAGTCCACATGCTGTCGGTCCCCAATGTGCTGATACAATTCCCATCTATGGCCTTATTTTGGAAAATCTTACGAGCAGAACGAGCCGTGGAACAATTACTGGAAAAAACCAAGGCACACCACACGTTTCTTTTCCCCAAAGCACTTTGTCTAAATTCGGGCTGGTTGATGACGCAGCTTGCAGGCAGGCTCCCAAAGGCCTCCACTGAGCAAAGGCTATCTGCTGAGGCCGGAGGCGCTGGTGCCAGCTGGAGGTGAGAGGCCTGGGCTCTGCTTTCAGCCACCTCACAGGAAGGGGTGAAACCTTACTCTCCTTGGCCCAGGAGGCAGGAGGAGGGCGAGGCTGTTCTGGGAAGGGGCCGCACCACCAGTTAGGTTGCTCTGCGGTGCTGCCAGGTGGCAGTGATGTGGTGGGCTGCACAGGACTGGGTGTGCTGGCAGTATGTCCTGCACGGTGACACACTGCCCCCAGGGAAAGGCTTCTGCCAGCAGGGGCCTCTTCCCAAGCACTTGAACCTGGAGGACTGCAGTGCCGCGCC